TATCCATTTCTGGAGGAAAACCACCCTAAGATTTACCAGATTTACTGGAATTGCACCAATCTTACCCATCTCTACATCCTTGCCTAGCAAAAGGTTTTAGCTATTTATTTTTTTAGCTAGTTATTCCCTTTCCCCATCCCAAATAACACTAAAATTCACGTTAGGTGAGCAACTCGGATAATCTCCATCCACAGACAATCAGCTTCATCTGAGAGTCCTAAATCTTTCTTTTCCATGGAATAACCAATTTATATTGTTTATGAAAAAAAGATTGAGGTTGAACCATTTCATCTTTTAGTTTATTACGTATGTCAAGTAACGACTTCTGAACCGGCCGTAACGGTCTTCCATACTCCCCTGAATCCCTGCGGCCGGCCACCCCTCCCCATACGCTGTTTGGTTGTTTGGCGTAAAGCTCGTGACTTGCCTCTCTTTTCCTGTCCTACATTGCTTTTCCTCATCACGTCCCTGTAACACAAAAGTCCTGAGGAAAACTGGTCCTTGAGAGCACCCATTTAAAAACACGCTTCATCACGTAGGTCTAATCATCCTAATTAACATAGTGCTACTCCATTGGAAAAAGAGATGGTCCAGAGTAGCGACATGCAGAAATTTCACCTCCCAACTGGGATCCGCTCTGCAATACCTTTCTGATACCCTGAACCTCTTCCACCCGAGAGACCCAATTCTGCAGAGTGCAAGACATTGAACTACGCCGTGTGTTTGGACACGGCTCCGTCCCCACGCCCCCCTTTTTACCAGCCCAGCCCAAGTGCCCTGACCCGAGAACCCCGGCTTCCGAAATCCCTGCTGCTTCCCACCTGCCTCCCCTTCCCCCACACCCGGCTGCCAGCATTGCACACATCTGCTCCTGCTTCCTCCTGTCTGCTTTTACCATGAAGCTTTTTCAACTCATTAGGTACTAACCCCTACTACCACGTTCCCAAACGTTAGCTCAGACCCTCTCCCCACCCGGCGGTGGCTGAGGGTCCCAGCTGCAGCTTCAAACAAACGCACTGAGCAACCAAATCCTCGTGCGGCCTTAAGAGGAAAACACACCCAGAGTGAACCTCAACCCGGTTTTTGGGCAGCAGAGGACAAAGCCCAAGGCTCTGGAGACCGAAGATGGGTAATAGTTACACCCTTTGCCGGAGAGTTTTTATGCAAAGCATCTGTTGGTGTATTTGTGTCATTTCCATCCCATATGACCACTCCGCAGAAACCAGGTAATAACTCACCCCCTCACGTACCCGACCATCTCGTCCTTAAGTCTTTTTCCAGGCAAGTAGAAAATTCCTTGCTTCCTCAAAAGATAAAAACATTCTGGCTAGGGAATTCACAGGTAGGACTTACCTTCTGGGGGCTGGGCAGCGGGTGGAGGAAGGCAGCAGAGGTGTCTGGGCTTCCTTTAACGCTGCTATCAATTCCAGAAAATCTTGTAAAACGCCGCCCATCCAATCCTCCACGTCTAGCTACGCTGACTTCCATTGTACCAAACAACGTACGGAGAACACAGCAGCACTGAGCTTGCTCTAAACGCTATTCCAGGCCAAGGTCTGCAAGCACGGTTGCAGGAAAGCAACTGACGCAACAAAATAGGAGGAAAAAAGGAAATAGGCAAAGTATTTGCACGCACTTAAAGGACAGTACCCCAAGTACTGTTCTGGCACAACAAAAGCCTCAATTCCACCTACCGATTGTAATCCTGCCAGAGATTTGCCAGCACACAGGTAGTATCCAAGATGAGACTATGTGCTCAAAGCCAACTGCAGCAGCACAGGTAAAGCAGCACTTTTGGGGGTAACTAGACAACCCCGTCCAGTTCTGTTCATCTGTTGAAATCTTGTTTGCAGCATTAACTAATAAGCTATTTCAGTTAAAACAAAGTTAGAAATTTCACGTGGCAAGTAGCTCAACATCTAATTGAGTGTCTTAGTAGACAATCTCCAGGTCTGCAATCCCCTTTGGGGTATCCAGTGCGCTGGCTTTCCTCCAATCAGAACAATTCCAGCCTTGAGTTGGTTTGCGCGATCCACATCCGGCGCACAGGGACAGTAGACAGAGCTGGCTTTCACTGTCTGCATAAGACAGGTTTTGTCTTCTGTAGGGTGAAAAGCAGGATTTCTGCAGTGTTGCATTTAAGTTCGCGTGTGGTCAAGACGACCGAGAGCTATTTCACGGATATCCATTCGCTTCCCAGAAAACCCCCGACAAACGTTAACAAGAAGCAAGATATTCGCAGTCTGACAGGACTTCGTTACCAAGGGACTGAAGGATCTGGGTAGGTCATATGTTTCTTGGATCGATGAAGCGATCCAATTAGATTCGCTGAAACAGATTTCGGATTACAACAGGACTAACAGCCACCAGGCCGTGCCTAAACGGAACCAGGCAGAAATGGGCTGGTAGGTTCAGACTGCACAGGGAAACGACGAGCCACATCTACCGCTTTGAGCTTAGCACGTCTTCAGTCACTCCCATCGTCACTCAAAACACTACAGCTCAGCCTTTGCTGGGCTGAGCGACTGCCGAGCTAAAGCCGCCCCCGTGCACAGACGTCGCTAACGGAGCTCCAGGCGCGACCCCTGAAGCGGCACAACTGCGGACAGCAGAGCCGAGCCCCAAGTGCATTCAGCAGACTCAAGGGCCCAGACGGCCAGCACCTTCTCCAGCAGGTACCCACGAAGTCTTATGCAGGAGACCGTCTTTACTGCACAGCAAACCTGTTACAAAAGCCATTACACCCCCATGAACGGTGACTCCAGACACTGAATTTGTAAGGAACCTTGGTGCATGCACTACAAGGCTCCCGGTGGGACAGCTGCTGGCAGCATCACTCCCGCAGCGCAAGTGACCCAATGAAACCGATTGGGCCAGAGCTCCACTACACCAACTAAACTCTGTACAGCATGTTTACGGCTCCTGCCTCTCGGTGCTGACTGCAGCGACTGACCCCAGCCTGAAGTTGTGTCTGTTTGGCTAGAGGCGTGGTAGGAGTCTTGGAGTCCGAAGTATCCATGGATGTTCACATACGGCAGATCAAGCCATCGAAACTAGGGCGAGTTAGATGCTTCTCCAAGAGATTTTTTTCCATGATGGATTTAAAAGGTAAAGCCTTAAAGAGCTTTCATCTTAACTACTGAATCTTTTACTTAGAAAGTGGCTTAGCCACTCACTAGGAGGGAGCTTAAACTGTAGCATAAAGACCCAAATGAAGTCACCTTAAACTGCCCTATAAACGCTGGAAAAAAATTAAACGGAACCAGCTTAAACATTCTCCTCAGAGTTACCCTGCGCAAACGGTCAGGGGAAGGTTGGAGAGTTAAGATCTGTCTCCTAAAAACACACAGCACATGCATTGGTTTCAGCTTTTATTGAACAGTACCTTTTTCTTTTTTAAAACAAAATACTTTCTACAAAACGCCTCACCTCTCAATCAAAACACTGACAGCTCAGGACAGGTTGTGTCTCAAACGCAGTAATTCAGAAAGGAAGAGAAAGAAAGGTTTCTTGTTAATAAAGGAATTCATAGTTTCAAAAGAATGCTAGCCCCCAAAACACAAGAGGATTCACACACACCGTGGCTGAACAACACACCCTGGGGGAATAAGCGTTAGGAATTCTGAATCCAGGAACTGGAAGACATTCCGGAGCACGAGCATAGTCCTGTATCAACACTGTCCAGCCTGTCTCGCTCAGGGCTGACTCGTCTGCTCGTACAGTGAGGCTTGTTCCGATCCCTCAGAAGAGCACTTGTTCAAACAAGGAAGGACTCACACCTGTTTACAGACTTAGCCGAGACTCAAAACAAGGGAACACTTCAGGTCACGTCGTCAGGGAACTTAGAGGTGCCCCCGGGGGTCAGAATATCCAAAGTGCAACCCATTAGTGGATCACACTGGTCACAGAACAAGGCAGATCAATACCCAAGAAGAGAACCCGGGCATCCGTGTGACACAAGTTTACTCAGCATCTCCTGCTGGAGCAGGACTCCAAATGGTTCAGGATCCTTCCAGCGATGCCAGTCTTACTGCTGGGCACACTGGGTTTCAGAAGTTGGCTTAGAAGACACATACAACGTTGGGTATTTTTTCTTTTGTGTTTTCTTCTCAGTCATGATTTCATTTTCCTTCTTTTCTTCTTTTCCCACAGTTTCAAAACTGGATTCAGCTGTTAACCTATAGGCAAAGCAACCATTCTAAATATATATTTAGTTTATAAGAGACAAGCATAGTTTTAAGCACAATCAACAAGCCGACTGGCATACAGGACCAGCCATATGCAGAGACAGAGCAAGCAGTGCTGCGGAGTGACAGACTGAAGCACGGTGTGTTTATATGCTCCTACTCACGCCGTGTCACTGACGGCATAGCCCTCCCCCTTTTCTGCTGAAGTGTCTGGTAAAGAGGTTACCGCAGGGCAACTGGTTGGGATCAGCCTTCAATCCAGTGCCTCGTGCCACGCACCTAAAGGAGATGAAGGCCATAAAAGCACAGCGCCAAGCGAAAAGCCCCAGCAACATCGCACAAACATGATGAAGTCAAGCATTTCGCTTCAACACCACCAAGAGGACTACACTTAATATACTGGTTTTCAACCTATTCTGCCGTACTGTCGCCTTTGTCTTAATTGAAAGTGGGGAGGTTTAGATTAGATATCAGGAAGGAATTCTTCCTACAGAGGGTGGGGAGGCACTGGAACAGGTTGCCCAGGGAAGCTGTGGATGCCCCATCCCTGGAAGTGTCCAAGGCCAGGCTGGATGAGGCTTTGAGCAACCTGGTCTAGTGGAAGGTGTCCCTGCCCATGACAGGGGGGTTGGAACTGGAGGGGCTTTAAGGTCCCTCCCAACCCAAACCATTATGTGATTCTATGATTCTATTGAGCCTTGACTTTGCACGCTCCAAAAAACAGTTGTAATTCTGGTTCCTTCTACCCATTTAAAGGAGATGAACTGGTCTCATCACATGGGCCTTTACATCCTGGGGATGAATGCCACAACTAACACCCCAAAGAGAACATCAGTTACCCAGATCTCTTGCAGACCCAAAAGGCTGTAGGCATTTCCTGGTACATCCGGTACAGGTAATCCAACAGAGCAAATAAGCTCTTAGGCACACAAGCCTTTCTTTAGAGCAAACTAAAGCACACCACTTCAAATCTAAACGCAAACTATGACGTGCAGCAAGGGCTGGAATCTGCTGTTTCAGTTCCCGACGTGCAGAAAAGCATTTCGATGCAGGAGTGAATCTTGTTACTGACTGGTTGCCCTAACAGAAGACAGCACCTACCTACAGCCTTCCCACTGCCTGAACCACAAGAGCAGTTAATTATTATTAATCACTTAAAGATTTAAATCTGCCGTCTCAACTACGGTGTTCAACACTCACGTACCATAACTGAGTCACTACCAACACCTCATCAATTATAGCCATGTTTACTTGGGTCAGACCGCTGTATGCACACGCACTGCAGCTACGAACCCCTGCTACTGTGCCAACGCTGCCTGGCTCCTGAAGCACGACTCTTCAAACAAGGAAATCTGTCACCCACGCGTGCACACAGATCACTTCCAAGCCCTTCGTCACCTCCCGCGCCAAGATGGCAAAGCTTTTCAAACACCATTTTCTAGAAACGGTTTGCAACCCTTTCACAGTTACTTTCACGGCTGCATTTCCTGGCCAGAGCTTGACGAATCACCGCACACGCTTCTCCAGTTGCAAAAACACCCCCTAGTAAGCACAACAGCCATCGCCGTTTTTACTTAACACCAGGTGGAACACTGACAGGTATCCACCATGCACATGCCAATTATTTCTCCTCCCCCAACTCTCCATTTTCCCGCTCATTCCCGCTCAAGCCACCTGCCTTTTCTGTGCCTCTGCAGTCGCTGCATCGCTGCACAGGGTTTCGCCACACACCCACCACAGAACAGTCCAGAGATTGAGTGTTTAGAAGCCCAACTTCTCCAATAGTCTGGTTTTACCATCAGTTCCCATGTCATAATAAATCGTAACAGATCAGGGTTAAGTAAATCCTCAGTGTTACCTTAACAACATTAATTGGGGATTTAGTAGTTCATTAACACCATCAGAACCTTGAACAGAACCTTCTGCCTGGATTTGCCTTTTACAGGTTCATACTACCATGGAAAACTGCTTAAAAGCTTATACGGAACTTTGTGGCATTTGTTGTTGTGTTGATAGTGGGTGGGGTTTTGGGGACCTTTTTAAAATATACTGATGTATGTTTTATCCCTTATTTGAACCAACAGCAGCGAGTGCAAGAGCAGAACCTTCCCTCTGACCTATGGCCTTCATCCACCTCTTCCGCTCGCTCTGCTTCCAAGCATAGCTCCACAAAACAGCCTCTGCTCCTCACCCCCTCGGGTAGGTTTACCCCTCCCGTTCACCCCAACCGTTTCCAACTCCCTGTTTGCAGACACCAGGTTCCTTCCTTTCCCACAGAAACACCAGGAATAAGTTAAGCTTTTCACACCCAGGTTAGCACATTATCTGTTCCTTCGTGCGTACAAGACACCCCCAAAGCACACCACCATCACTAAATTCCCCAAATCTTTCCTCTCAACTTTCCCCACCCACGTTTGACCTCCCGGATCTCTCCTCCTCAGCAACAGTCCCTGCATACAGACATCGCTACTTCTGCCATATTCTCTCCAGACTATGTCAGAAGTTTGTACGGTCTGGTTACTGTAAACTGTTAACTGCATCCAAGGCAACCTGGAATACGTGAGCCAAGAGTCAAAGATTGCCATCCATTTACTTCCCAACACCATGCATTTTGGTTATACAGATTTCCATGCTAGGCCTTCCCCCATCTCCGAGGCGGCTGTCGTTCTAGATTCAATAAGCTGTTTTTACTAGCAGTCATTAGTGAGCTGTAAGCTGAAAACATCCAGACTACGGCAGATGGTTTTCTCCACTCAGCCATGCGTTTGCTAGGATTATGAACATGGACAGAATGCAAAAGCTTCAGCTGGGAAAAAAATCAGCGTTTCTTTTACCAAGTCAGAAAAGTGGGAGCTAGTTACTGTACTAAGTTACTTCACCATCTATCAAAAAGTACCTTAAACTCACAGTTCAGGGGAAAAACTTGATCTTAGTTTAGCAGGTGTGTTTCTAGTTATCACGCATCAGACCGTGGCAGTCAGTTGTCTGACAACACAAACAGGGTAATGAGCTGCCTATGAACTTGCATTATGCAAGTTCTGTAAGATGAATTTGGTTAAAGAGTTAACTTTCATAACTGTTAGGCTTTCAGGTAAATCTGAAAGTTGACAAGGGCTGAAATTCGGTGTAAAACTGAAGCACAATACCTACTGCCTTTGCTACTTTCACAGGAGTAACAGTCGTGTGGCAGCTTTGAAGGGACCAGGAAGAGTCCTGTTTCTGCAGGTAGCGCAAAGGGGGCGAACTGCCATGCTATCTGCACACCTTACCACTGTCAGCTCAGGGGAAATGATTTCCAAGATTGTTACAGTTTCAAGAGTCTTTTTCCCGAGTCATCATTTTAGTCTTTCCAAAAGGTATCGAGAGGTTCAGCACAGGCAGCCGGAGCTGAGGGATTACACGGCATGCAACACTGAGGAAATAGATGAAGAAGTGGATAGCGCAGTTCATGCAGCGAAAGAAAAGAGATGCAGGTCTGTGCTGATTGCCTTGGCCACAGACAGAAGCTGACACTGACCTGGGGGCAGCCGAAGTCAAGCAATTACTTTCACTTCTGCTAAACGAAGTCAAGGCATCATGGTTCTCATCCTTAATTTTAACTTTAACTTTATTTCTTTCTCTTTCAGGTTCAACTACTTTTTGCATTGCTTGAAGAGCTACATTTATTGGTGGTGCTTCAAGAGTGTGTCTTTTTGGGGAAGAATCATTTTGCTGCTCCAAGTTCTTGGAAGTCATCTTGGTTTCTTCCTTACTTGGCAACTGAGTGACAGCAGCTGCTTTTACTGAAGTATTTTTGCTGTCCAAGTATTCACAGGTAGCATCCACTGGAATCTTCTCCCTCTTTTTAATTTTAGTTGCTTTAAATATTTCTAAGAAAAAAGAAGCATACTTTTTGTACACAGCTGAAGCCAGAGTTAACTTGTCCACCAGCACGTTCATAATAACAAAGAACATTTCACATAACTGAAGATCTTGAAGTAATTCTTAATAGACAACTCGCATACCTTAAAGAAAGTCCTTTCCTATAATCCTTCACCAGCAATTAAGCATCTCAGTAGAGTTTACCTTGAGAAGGACACAGTCTCCCCATCCACTCTAACTTTTTACCAAGGCTTTTAATTAGATGCTCTGCACGACACAAATATGCTCAATTACTTTATTTCCATTTTGGAAGCTGCCAAGGTAACTTCTACAACTAAGATTTTAAAATTAAATCCTTTGGGTATAGACAAATACCAAAACCAGTTCTCCCATCTGCTTCCCCATTCACCTTCCTCCACAGGCAACAACTCCCTTGTTTCTCCATGTAGCCAGGTATCAGCTGTTTTTCAGGTGGGTCTCTAGTCTCAGAACCTAATCCATATTCACTGCAGCTACTGTCCAGTTTTTCCTCTGAATGCACTTTGCCCACTTACTACAAAGCTCATGTCAGCTGCTTATGTTCAGAAAGCTGATGCACCTCACCCACAGAGAGATACTGCTACTCTTACAAAAAGCACCTCCTGAGAGTTGCTTCCCACCCACTTCGCTATGGTACTCTAGCTATACTCCATAAAGCCTCTGAACTATAATTCTTATCTTCAGTCGTCTGAAACCGATGTCGAGCTACATGTCACTCAACTCGTGAGGGTTCAGACGACCAGACTGACACACACACACCCCCCCCACTGCATGGAAAAGCAGCATTTACCTTCAGGTTCATACTTCATTTTCAGCTCATCCAGCATAACTCGCAAGTTCATATTCTCACTCTGACAAGCTTGCAAGTGCCTCTCATTTGTGAAGAGTTTCCTTTCAACTTCCAGAACCCTTTGGCTCTCATACAGAGCTTTCATCCTCTGCAAGGATAGTTCATTTTTCAAGGTTTCCGTTTCCTTGCTGGGGTGGGAAGGAAATCATACAATCAGACCTGGAATTTTTGTAAAGCAGCAAACAGAGTCAACGAAGCATGCAGTGACTTCACATAAAATTAGTTTTTATACACTAGTAGCAAATGAAAGACCTATTCTGGTACAATGAATCTTCTCCTGAACACAGAACAGTGAGTTTAGTTACCAGAGCTTTGATTTTAACAAGCATTCTATCTGTATGCTGAACACCACACACGCCTACAGAGCTGGTTTGAGAAACCTTCCCTAACCTACAAATTGACTGTTTCATTAGGGTTCTTCTAACAGTGTTACTCTAAGCAACCAACACGATAATTAATGTTAATAGTCAGTGCCTGTCCTTGACTCTGTTTAAGAGGCCATTAACTTCCACATGATAAGCAGAGTCACCATTCCTCAGTCATCCCAAGGTACTTGGATCATGCCAGTTTCTCACGACAGCAATAGCAGCTGAGGTGACAGAGTTCTCAAGAATTCCCACAGCAGAACATTGCCTCCCGCTGGAAACAAACACAGTACTTCCATCTAAAGGCTTAAATACAGTCCCAGGCCAGACTGTTAAATCATTAGACAAAGAATTCACTAGCCAAAGAACATTCCAAGTGTCATCAGCTGTCTTTTTTTTTAGAAGAGAAATAAATATACACAGCCTACAGACTTTAAGAGGCTTCACACAGTTCCCTTACAGGTTAAATTTGGTTTTTCATTTCTCAATCCTCATATCTAGGATTATTAGCATTTTGAGAAGAAAGCAACAATAATAAAATAGTTCTGCTATAAAATAATGTAAAATATTAGATCACTGTTCTTTCACAACAAGAAGTGACAAACAAAACAAGTCGGTCCTGTAACAAACACAGGATGGTTCCAAAAGCATTAGTAATAAGACTATGAGCGTATCTGCCCATGCAGCCAGGGGACTACATACAGACAAACAGGGAGAAGAAAAGAAGTAGCTAGAAAATAACGAGGCTACAAGCAGCTTCGTGACCTCAGGCCATTAAATACATACTTCGAGTTGTCAAGTTTCATTTGCAGTAAATCTGCGTAGTAACCATCTTCAGACTCTCGTCCTTTTGAGCTTCCACCGCCTCTGGATTCTTCCATACTCTCATACAGCGTCTGATAAGGAAAAAGCATCAGGTTGTCAAACAGTGACCTCTCAGAAGCACGTTAGCTGAGTGAAGTCATCCATGTATTTCCACAGAGAAGCCTCATCATAGAGGCATTTAAAGGTACAAGAGAGCTCAGTTGCTGCGAGCACTTCCTTGTTTGTTACAAGTGCCAAACAGCACTGAAACAGACAGTTCTCTCCTTCACTGGAAGGAAAAAAGTTCTCTCAACTCCAAAAGGTTTTCAAATAGCACTGCAGAACAGCTATCTTCCTTTTTACTTGAAAACACAGGATTTTCAGTTCACCCTCAGAGAATTTGTTTCAGCCTTTAATTCTAGGCTTCAGCAGCAGGACCCCAAAGGTAAGGAACATGAGCCATGTTTATCAATAGCCAAAATCTCAAAATCAGTAACATCTTTTACGCGAGAAAGTCGGTTCATAGTCAAGATAAGCGCAAATAACCTTCTATAAAATAAGTCAGTAACGTGGGTTTTTTTGTTTTGTGTTTTTCTTCTCTAAGCAGCACTCGGATTCAATACTGTCCCAGAAATCTCATAGGCTTCTGTCAGTCCCTGACTACAGGTACTTTTGATGGTTAGTTGAATCAATCACTTAATTTCCGTAAAACACTACTTATTTATGGCATAGAGACAAAAATACATACTGACCAAGCTTATACATGACAAAACTGGTAATGCAATTAAGCTGCCTCAATTGCTTCCTAAAATGGGTTAAGCCTAGCTTTATTGCACTTTGGTTAAATGCAGAATAGAGGACACTATCCTGGAAAGCATAATCCAATGCATAAGCTGACACACCCAAGCTGACATTCCAAATTGTGATAAGGAAGGCCAAACAAGGCAGTAAAGTACACAAGAACACAAGAAAGGCTACAGTTTTTCACTTTGCATACACCCAGACATCAGTAACACTACAGCAGTGCACACAGGTGTTCTCAGGCGTGTTCATCACCTTCCAAAACACTGACAAGATGCTACCAAACTGCAGACTGAGCAAATTGCTTTACAGGAGTGATGAAGAAATTGGAGTTTTTATAGAAAAATAGGACACTTCAACTGCAAAGTTAAAATGCATGAAGGAAACATCCAAGAAATCCAGTATAGCTGAGAGACTACAAAGTGAAAAAGCCTACATACACACAGTAAAAAGGTGAAATGGTTGTATCTTCCACGAGAAAAATTAGATATCATAGCTCAGTGAACTTTGACCAAGAAACTGAATTTAAACACTATGGTTTAAACCATCGGCAGGTAACTATGTAAAAGACAAAAGGTGCTGCATGCAGGAGCCCAGAAAAGATTGGTCCTCAAACCAAGGGTTGGGTGGTGCAGTTTTCTGCTCTGAACATCAAAATTCTATGTTCTCCAGCTGTAAAACTGACTTTTGGTCAAATAAAGGTATGAGTAAGCATTGGATCCCTCTTCAAACTTGAGCATGGACTACAGTTAGGTTTCATAATTCTTCCTATTCTCTTGTTTTCACTTCTGATTAGGACTTTCCCACTTACTTACAGACCACATACCTTAAATTTTTCTAGCTGCCTCACTTTCATAAGAAGATCTTCTATCTCACCATTCTTTTGTTCTAACATCGACTGTAAACGTTCCAGCTGCTCAAATTCTGCCTGAGAGCCTTTCATCTGTAGCAGTGTAGCCATTTGCAGCTGAAAAAGGAAAAACAAAGAATTCCTTACAACAAAAACCGTGTTAAGCAACTGAAAAAATCTCAGTCTTGCCCAGAACAGCTAGGGTACTCAAGCCTTATAATTCTAATCCTGAATATAGAGGCACAATGGATGCTTCAATTCAGTAGCCTTCCCAACATCGTCTCCACAGTTACCATTGCAGGTTGACACTAATAATCTTCAGGACAGCTAAAATTTGCTGAGCAGTGTTCCTTAGGTGTCCTATCTTTCCCCATATTGACTAAGGAACCTGTAAATATCCCGCCAAGGACACACAGCATTTCACATTCAAACCTTAAACACCAAGTCAGCTAGAACCCAACCAGGGTTGGTTACCAGGGCTAAAAACGCACCTACCATCCCCAGAAACTCACTGGAGAAAGAGCACCTTAGTTCAATGAGTTTAAAAACCCCTTTTTCTGCAGTTCTGATTCTCAAGTATAAATAACACTGAGTTTGCCTTCTGTAGCATTAATCTACTCCTTCGGCGGAAGGCATCCTCCTTTCAAGCATGGGAACACGCGTCATCAGTACAAAAGGAGTTTATCAGAGACAAGTACCACGTTTATAGTGTATTGTTCTGATGCTGTTACCATCCTATCACCACAGTACGAGGGCCTGAACAAGTTCACAGTTAAGAGTGATACATCAGACAGTTAAACATCATCAAATGCAATACCAGAGAGCGTTAACAGTGTTAGTGATAAATGTAGCATTTTTACCAGTGGAGGCAGAATGGATAAGGCTACACTGTAGGGCACAGAACACACATGGAAAGTGTCAACTGAAACAAATCAGACTACAGACTAACAGAGGAAGCGAGGGAAGAACACTCACCCTACTGAATCCTCTATATCAAGTAAAAGAAATTGATGATTCTGCACACAAACTAGAGCTAAAGATTGAGTCACCATATCCTCATAGCTTCTACAGGACATAAGGGAGGCAAAATTTTAACCCCCATTGCCTACAGCTATCTTTGCACTTCCCAAGCATGTAGACACCTAACCTTTTCCCTTAAAACCCCACTTGCTACCTGTCAGAATTGCAAATTGCAGTTGATCTACATAAAAACAAAGATGACACATTAAGAAACTGGAAGGGACACTGTGGGCTGTGGAAAATTCACCAGACATAGTAAAACTTCCACAGGAGTAGTGCTTACATTCTGTTCAGGGGTGAGACCTTCAGAAGTCACCAGAATATACCACATTCACACAGTCTGACGACTAAAGCCACAACAGCTGTGAATCACACTGCTGGAATCACTACTGAACACAGAGACCCATTAACTACAGACTGAGCTTTAGGAGAGAGCAACACAGCGCAGCACAAAGTCTCCTAACAGGGACCTGGGACAGCAGCTTAAGCAAAAGGGCTGTGCTACCAAACCACCTATATCCGATACCGAGAAGAAGGTTTATGGGGACAAATGAGTACAAATTGCAATTCCAAATAAAACCATTCAGTAGTAGAACAGGGATACCCATTTGCTTCAGTTCTTGGTGAAAGTTTTCACTGTTAGGAATGTTTCTCACACCGCTCAGCATGACTGCCTTACCCTCACACTACAAGAGGAAAGGTTTCTTGAGAAACTTATCTTTGCTCAAGTCTTTGGCTCTCAAGGTCAGATTTTAGTACAAGAGAATTCTTTTGCTGCATCAGTTATTCCCTTACTGTCCTTTAAGAATGCTGTTTAAATTACTTCAACCTACCCCTCCACAAAAGTTAGCTAACACAAACCTGGACCTTCAGTTACTCACTATCATCACTCCTGACATTTAAGCACTCTCCTCGAGCTCCATGATCAAGTATTTGATCAAAGCGAGAGGGTCCACTCCTGCGTTGGAAAATCAGAAGACCAACAGCAAACCCTTGGCAGTTTTTCAGCATCCCCTTTACACTGACGTGTAGATCAGCTTCCGCTAACTAGTGCTCAGCAGTATTAACCAACATGCTCCCATCCTACATAAGTGAGGTCTAAATTAAGTTGTTATGACAGAAGTTATAACTTATTCTTGCACTAAAGACGGGGAAAAGCAAGAAAAAAGCGGACAAACAGAAAGAAAGCAACCCAGAGGGGGAAAAAATAACCCAACGAGACAGTGTGAACAGAGGACAGAGTATAAGCTGTCCTTTTTTTAACATTCATTCCAGAGAACCACAGTCAATGCACAAACGATTCAGATAGTACAAGAATTAGGTAAGAAAAAGCAATTGTCAAGACAAGTTGAAGCTAGTTTGGCGGACAGGAGTTGTGTTTTCCTTTTATCCATTTAACAGCTACTGCCAACGTAAGCAAACATAGTGCCTTCAGTAGAGCTCGGAGTTCTAGGATAAAGTAGTAGCAGTAGAAAAAACCTAATGTACCACAGAAATAGCACATCTCACTCTTTTTTCCCTCCCACTCCCCTCCCCCCAGAGTACTGTATCCTATTTTGAAGCCAATCAAATCCCCTAGCCTGTGTAGTACAGCATCACCTTGTCAGACCCCAAGGAAACCCTGGAGTATTACAGTAATGGTCATACCTTCATTCTCTGCAACTGTTCTCTAGTGAATGCATGCTGTTTTTGTAGTGACTGATATTTTATTTTCACACTGATCAGCTGTCGTTCCATTTCTGCCCTACGGTCCTCCACCTACAGAACATCGTTAACAATTATTACTATGAAAATCATAACACTTGCTGTCACTTGGATGACATATTTCACAAGATGTTGCCTAGCAATTAATGCTCATCCCACAAATACCGCTTTTCCAGCAACAGTACCTGAAAAAATGCACTACTGCCATTACCACTGAGAAAACTGTGTGGACAGTGTTGCAGCAGCTAAAGCCCCATCAGTGAAGTGCAACAGATTTTTCTTTTGACATCAAAATAAAGTAACAAGTCATATACTTCAGGGTTGCTGCAGAATAGTTTTGTCCACTGGCATCAAGTTTTGTTCAAGGTTAAAAAGTGAACTGTGTACCAATTCAACCCATTCCCTCAGTGTCAAAAAACTAAACTTCCTATGCATTTAACAGCAGCTGAACTTTTACTCAAAAACTAATCCAAAAACCCTCCCAAATGCTCAAACATCCAGCCATTTTCAGCATGTTTGTAAAAGACAGCATTTAACAGCTTACTCCAGCATTTCACACACCACCTTCTGCATCAGAGGTGGCTTACCAGCCGAACAAAACCACTCAGACCTCAGGGCTGCAGACACAACTCTCATGAACCCTCAGGCCCGTCTTCTATCCTGATAGCCAGGTAACTTTAAGTTATTCCATTAAGTCTACCAACTCCCTCAACTTCAGTGTGCATAAAAATTTTTTTCCATAGGTCAGTTACCACTTCAGTGTTGAAGTGCCGAGTATTTGAGGAACAGAGATTCATGTGGGCCAGATCAGGTAGAAATACTCTGGTATTTTCAACGCAGTGTAAGAAATAAGACTTAGGAAGTATTTCTTCGCTCCTCCGTATTTTCTCAGCTATCTGTGGCATAACTGTACCTCAGCAAAGAGAGAATTGCCTTTACTTGTTGGGTCCAAAGATTGCTGCACTGCATGATCCAGCTGAACCTGAAGCTCTTGATTAGCTTCACGAGCTTTCTAGATTAAAGCAAAGATGATATTAGTCATTTAAACATCTGATGTACCGCATATTAATTTTATCAGATAGTTTTACCCTTTTTCATTTCCTATGCCTTTAGCACAGACTGTCTTGTACTGCAGTACTTCATGGTGCATACAGCTCTAGCCAGTAAGAGACAATTTTGTTTCATTAGAGAGCTTAATATTACACTTGCTCTTCAGCACATGAGCATAACTAAAAGTTTTCATGGAAAAAATTGATGTTTATCAATTGGATTAATGGTACTGAGGCTATTAGCCTTGCTGTGCTGTTTAGTCACAAATCCTCTACTCCCCACTACATAATTTTCCAAAGCATTCAATAAGAACTCGAAATAAAAATGAGTGTTATCAGTGACCTGTGAAAAGGCCCTGTGACAAGGCAGAACACCGCAGCACAAAGGATCTCCGCACACCGCCCTCCACGAGAGAACACCGCTGCGGAGAGTATTTAGCAACAGGCAATACCAAACACAACTAGCCAATATCCTTCCCCACCTTCTCTTCCTCCTGCCATCCTCAGAACTCCTGACTTCACTGAAAAGCTAGCACCAAAACTTGTGGAATTCAGGGATTATCTACCACTGCTGAATAAAATTGTGAAATACCTCCAACGCATTACAGTAAGAAACAGCTTCTTTCTCTCTCTCCTCCTTTTCTCCCTGTAGACGCTCCAGCTGATTACGTAGGTTACTATTTATGAGTTCCAATTGTTCTTTATTGTACTGCAGTTCATTCAGCTTTTCTTCAACACTGGCCTAAACAACAATCAAAAAAAGTATGAAATAAAAAGGTCATAAAACAATTTGAAGAAAAGCAGCCTCACGTGAGCCTAACAGGTTTGTTAGCAGTAATTACTTTTAATACAAAATACAATCTTAAGGAAGAGTCTGTATTAAAGCTTAGTTAATGCTATTTTTTTTTTCTGTGCATATTCTTAATGGTAAGTCAATCATAAATAATAATACACACAAAGCATCTAAAAAAAGTGAGCAGAAGCACAGAATTTCATCTCTAACCAGCCTACATTCCTAGTAATGAAGTATTAAGTCACACACCTTCACAGTTTCTAGTTCAGTGAGCTCTATCTGAAGATTGAGCATTTCTGAAGACATGGTCTCATGCACACGTTCAGACATCATATGTAGTTCTTCTGATTTAGCAGCAATTATCTCCTTCTGATGATCCACTTTGTGTCTTAATTGTTTCTCCGAGAGTCGGGTTTCATCTAGTTCTGCTTTCAGGTTCTCCAACTTAAAGACAGTTGACAAGTAGTACCATTTTATAACAAATTCTTGGAAAACCCCAATCATTTTGACTGTTCTAGTAACACAAAATGTCTTAGATATACAACTTGAGTAAACTTGTAAAAATAAAATTATGAGTTAAATACATAGGCTTTAAAATGCTAATAGCAACATTTTAGCATTGTATTAGTTGCCAAACCTTGTTTTTAAGGTCACCGATTTCTTGTCCATAGACTCTGGCAAGCTGTTCTTTCTGTTTATCCAGCTGCACGTTTTGCTGTTGCTTAATGGAATCACATTCAAAACTCAAGCTTTCCAACATTCGATTCTTGAGTTCAATCTCCCTCTGAAGAGAGTATTTCTCTTGTTCGAATTTCTGAAAAAGATAACACACAAATAAATCTAGAAGCAATATTCATAAATGCTTGGGGAACAACATACTAAATACAGGCTTAAACCCAAACCATTAAATGCCTTAAACTTGTAGCTCATTCAACCTTTTGTTGAAGTCCCAGTTAGAGAATGGTCATACCCATGTTTTAACAGATAAAAAACCCCAAGCAAAACACAAACCCAACCCAAAACAACCCCACACAACAGTTCTGAAATTTAATTACTTATTTGGTTGTAAAATACTCTCTTCTTCAAGCAAACTGTATATTTCTTGGCACCCAACACAAAGGGTGTGGTCATCTTTTCTGCAAGCGTAACAGAGAAATTTAGTGAGAGCTTCTGTGTCCTTTCTACCACCATGGAACCTGATCATGGTAAAAACTGCTACAGCCCATGTCATGTTCTCCTACTCCAGAACAGCAGGGTTCAGTGTTTGGCAACGACACCTAAAACCGTCTACCATTTTGTAATAAATCCCATCAACCCTTTCAGACTGAAGGATGACTTTTTAATAGCTTCCCTCCCTGCCTGATTGTAAATGTTTGTTAATTATAAAGGGCAGATTCATTTTACTCTTCCATTCAGCCAGGAATTCAGGAGAAGAAAACAGTAAGAGAGAGAATCTTGAAGGCGTAAGAAGTAAATACTAAAACCAAATCAGTCTAAAGATGCAGGATTTTATTTTTCTTACCTTTTTAATAAATAAAACTCTAAGATACAAACTAGAATTAAAAGAACAATATAACAAAACTAAAAGCTGTCAGGTGTGAACTTGACCTCTGTGGCCGAGACACCAGCTTATCAAGTACAGGCTTAGCACTCAAATACACAGGACAAGAGTTTTAACTCAAAGATGAAGACAATGCACAGAAAAGGTCTGGGAGTGCACTGCTGACCAGACCCAAGAAAGGCAAACATCTAGCACAGTATGTCTACAAGCGTACATAGATTTTTTTCTGAAAGACTCTTGCGTCAGCTGGCAAAAATTACACTTGTGTTCATGATAACTGCTTTGGCTCTCACACACCAAAAAAAATGAGAGCCACAGAATTCAAAAGCTCAACAGAACCTGATGGATAACCACAGTTACCACACATGATGTTATTCTACTGTAAGAAAGCACACAATTCCTTCCCTCTGCCCTTGAAATCTAAGTTACTAATTGATGTGGTTCATAGAAGCTTCCCTCATAACTTTGCTCCAGCCTAAAACATAGGATTACAACCTATAGGCACAGCTTCACAACACAGCAGCTACCAGGTTGTCTGCAGGAAAGGATGATCCTGCCCCACGTTCCTTATCACTCTGCCCTTTCCAGCTGCCTTTCTTGCTCTAAGCTTACTAGCGGCACAACGAGCAAAGTAAGTCACTAGGGTTCATTCAGAATAGCAGGACACAAGGACCGTCCAGCTGGTAAACCCCAAACCAAACCAAAATCTACAATAAAACAACAGAAATGTTAGCCTTATCACAGGGGAGAGATGGATGCACGGCCAGAAACAGACTAGACAAAGAAATGGTCTATCTGAAGCACCAGCTGACTGAAAACAAGCATCTAAATTAAAGTGTTTATGAAAACTCCTGATTGGAGTTTCCTTGCACAGTTACCAAGAAAACTGGTTAATACCTCTGTATTTCAACAGCACACTGTTCTCTCTTCTGAACTGTAACGAAAAGTACTAAAATTCAGAATCCCTTAGTACTTAGAAAATTTGGAAACTTCAACGGAAGGAGTCGATTCTACAGCCATGCTGCTAGTGGTCTTTTACAGCTTTAAGTGCTACAAACCTTGCAGGGAGAGCATAATATGAATGAATTACTAAACATACGCAGAACACACGCTCTAAACCAAATTTACTTAGCACTTTGTATTCATTTTACATTAAAGGCAATTAGCCTATACAGTACTGAACACTTGATGCATAATTAGGTATGAATCCCTGCCCCAGTTAGATAAAATTATGCTCAAGATCCTCCAATAGCGATAAAAAGCCCTCTCCACAAACACTAGCTGAAAAAGTTTTAGAATTAATCTAGACTCTAGAAAGCAGTTAAAACACCTGTGACATGCAGAAAACAGTTATAATAAAACAAAGCTCTTCACTGTTTCTTTTACCCAAAGTTTCAAACATCACCTCAGTTTTCTCAGTCAATTCACGGCGTGTTTGATCCAACTGATTTTGAACTTCACTTTGGGACTCCAATAAATGCAAGCCATATTGTGCTGCCTTTCTTCGCTCATTCTCTGCTTCCTTGAGTTGTTGTCGCAAAGTTAAAATGGTCTCAGTCTCCATTTTTTTTTCCTTTTCTTACTTGAACACTGCAAACAAAACGATCAGAAAAATACATTGAAGTTACAGTGCTTAATCTGAAAGAAGTTATTGGATTCCCTTTCTTAATCAGAATACAAGGATATGTATTTGCATTAATACAAGAAGCAAACAGACAGCTTACGAACAAATTATCCTGTGAACAGTAAAATAATTGCTGCTTCACCATAAAATTGGTTACCACCTTACTCCTGGCTCTGTCTTAAGTAACAGCATGCAGCGGAACAGCACCTGTGTACCCAGCCCAGTTTCCTAGCACAGGAGAAGCAGAGCTCATTGAGTATATAGCTATCTTGCCATATGCAAGAGAAGGCTAGGAAATAACCTTGTAAAAGCACTTTTATGCATATGGCTGACAGTATTTTCTTTGGTGTTATAAATAAAGCCACACTAATTATAGCATTACTTGTGTACACAAATAACACTTAAGATTTGTGTAGGCAGCTGTATTAGCAGGGTAGTTTAGTCCTAATAACATTATGTAGGATATAGAAACAGATAAAGGTAGTTAAAGGAAAGAGTCAAGAATAGAAACCTGGTTAATAAAATAAATGGAATTTTAAAATAAATAAATAAATTATCCTGTGTTAAGTGCTTAATGAATTCTTTCATGACTGCTGCCCACTTTAAACTTCAGTCACTGCAGGTAACCTATTTGTTCATAACCATGTCTGTCATGTGTTTCCAAGAAATTAATTCATTTCTATCTTTGTAGCATAACAGAAGAAACAAGTAAATATAAACTTAGCAACAAGTTAGTCAAAATAATACTAACCAAATATTGTTTAAAAACAAAACCAAGTCAAACTAACACCATAAGCTTGTATGACTGCTTGCTCCCAAACCCACTAAATCTGCACACTGAAAATAAATCCTATTAAGACAGAAATTGCTAAGCAACTCAGGCTTCTGAACAACATAAGCCAAGAGTTCTGTCAGAACACAGGCCTTAATAATATATAAACACAAAAATTTATCTGCAGTTGACTTTTGATGAAGTCACAGTTCATAATTTTTATATCATTTCAATCTTAAATTAATTCTTCATTTAAGATCTTATTCTTTGCTTTTTCTTTTTTACATAAAAAAATTATTTGTTGCCATTTCTTACAGACACGTTATCCGTAGGAACATTGGGAAGATGCTGGTCTTAAGAACAAACTTCACAGCTCAACACAAGATTATTTTTAAGAGTAATTTTTGTAATGTAATGCCTTCACTTTTGCTAAGTTGTATTCAACATGGATAACTCCACTAGGAGTTACCCAGCTTCCTAGAGAAAGGAAAATTAACATGGGAAAGTACATCACGCCAACACCGTGCTAATGCCTTTCAGAGATACAAGACAAAGTATCAAATTCTGTTTTTCACATTTTCTATCATTTGCTGTATGTTGTATATAACAGAGACTTGTTATCCAGACAGACTCAGAAACTTCAGTTTTTCACATCTAAGCATTGCAATGCTTGAAATACTAGCTTTGCACATTTATGCTAAAATAAGCCAGTGAAAACCAAGAACTTTGCATACCTATAACTAAGAATCATCAATATCATTACTAGTGCAAGGACACATTCACTGTGTACAATTCAATAATGAAATATTTAGCAGAAAGATGTAGCAATAGAGGTATACAGGCAGCCACTCCTGGCATGCATTTGCATTAGTCGAGGGGGTGAATTAATCCTTATTCACTTCATAAACAGAATTTTAAGAGCTTTGTTTTCTGACCAAACAACGGTACAGAGGCAACACACCAACTTGATTGCTCCTAGCTTACTAAAATAGAGTAACATTTTAAACTCACCTTCAGAAGTCCATTTAAGCCTTTCCTGACCTTGCTCTCATACACCACCTCTAAAAGAAAGAAAAGATAGACGCAACAGTTGTCTAGGTCTAGTCCGGATGAGTATAAGCTGCCATTATAGCACAGCCCTGTTCTGAAAAGGCTTTATGCCTGTGGAGGTCTCATGAAAATGCGGATCACAAGCTAAAACTCCATAGAAATGCAAATCTTATTCAAATCTCAGTGGAGGCAGCTGTCAGATAGTTTAGAAACAGCCAGATCAGGCAATGTTGCCAAAGGATAGCTGCTCTGAAATTGGCCTGCGGGGCAAGTAAACAGGCTACACCCAGGGTCACCTTCTTCTAGCACACATACAATTTTTAAGGGTTGTTTGGGGATTTTGCCTTGCTCCCTATTACTTCATCAATCTCTTTTGCATGATCTTCTCCTGTTTCACGTACAAGGTCTTTGGGCTCTAAATGAATCCTTTACTGGATAATATTTAAAAATATCTTAAGTTTTTCTTCAATTTTATAGCCCAAGTATGGAGGAAAAGAGAAATAGTTTTCTTATTCATATATTCCTTGCCACTATTGGGGAAAACAGCAATTATGGCTTTCGTAGGACAGACAATCTCAGCTTTTCATTGTCTGATGAACTTCATCCAAAACCAACATGTCCATGTAGCTTGTTCATAAACCTGTATTGTTATATAGGGAAGTCATTGGCTGTAATTTTATATTATACATGAGGTTAAGTAAACTACCCCGAAAATGAAGTTTTAAGATAAATTAAATAAGTAGTAAGGTGAGCAGGTAGGAGATGAAGTAGTCAAAGTCAGCCCCCATTTATTCTTCCAAGATTTACAAGAGTTAGTCACATTTGGCTAATTATCTTCAAACATTTTATGACAGATTCTGTACTGAGGGCTCCAGATTTTGATTATTCAATCATTTAATTACTTCTTGATTTAAAAAAGAAAAAAGGTAGGAGATAAAAAGGCACCCTCTTGGCATGCAGACTTTCTTCTCCCACTCTAACAGTTCTACTTAAACCGCTGTTCCCAAGGGTCATACACAACAGTCATCTATGAAAGACCAACACAGTCTCCTGATCACTAGCGTAATTAGCAAGATAGTTAACCTCCCTTTAGCTAGACAGTCCCTCTACAACTCACTTCAGTTAAAAAAGTCCATTTCTTCACCTGCCCAGCTGCACGCTCCAGCTGAAATACCTTCAGGGTTAATCGCCTCCCGCAGAGCACATTCCTGGGTGGACAAATATTACAGGGAGAAGAAAAATAACAGAATACAGGGTGCTCTTTCGGTCACTACACAGCGCTCGGCAAACCACCGACGGGCTCTATCAGCACTGTGGGGCAGTGCTGTGTCCACCCCTCAGCGCCCGGCACTCCCGCAGCCCAGGCCGGTGTCCCGCGGGGCTCCCTCACCGCTCCA